AGGTTCTATATAAGACTGGCACTTCTGCCATTAGATAGGAGCTTCGTGCTCAACTTAGTTATCAACTTAGTTATCAACTTAGTTATCAACTTAGTTATCAATCTTATCATATTAGTTTGACATCTTTGATACAAGTAACGAGTTCACTTCCAAGTGAACAACCCGATAGTCTTCTTCTTATCATAGCATACCAACCAGCGAACACCCAGCCAAGTTTAGTTAGCCAGTTTGAGTATTCGTTACAACTAGATAGGAGCTTCGTGCTCAACTTAGTTTACATTGCATTCAATACCATTGCTGTCTTGACTACTTTGTACAAGTGACGAGTTTACCTTTGAGTAAACACACGACCTGATAGTTGTCTTCTTTCCCGCGTACCAACAGTCGAACTCGATATCTTTCGTTAGTTAGATACCGGTTTCGTCACACTCTATATACGCGAGGTATATACCTATAAACGCCCGAGTATAGGCCGGGAGTACCTTATATACCCTACTTACGTATTCTACTTATATAATTTAACGTATACCTAGGAGTAGGATTTATAATAAGTTTAGAATAGTTCTAGAACGCTCTCGAAACGCTCTTAGAATAGTTCTAGAACGCCTTTAACTTATATTTTAAAAACTATTCTTAACTATCTTATTAATATAACTGTGACGGAGCTGGATTTCATTTGACAGGATTTCATTCGCTTGGCCAAGCACGTGACGAGACTTGGCATTGGAACAACTTAATTAACTTTGCTCCTTTCAGATTCTCTTCTCTCTTTAGTTTGATTTCTTCGTACCTACGGTTTTAGTTCTAGCAATTGATTCAAAAGCTGTATACACTTTATCCTTTGTTGGCATCCGTGACAATAACTATCTAATATTTAAAACTATCTTTATATATAAACCGCCCTTCTTTTACTACCTAGCGTTTTTTCCCCTAAGACTAGATTCTATATAAAACCTTCTTTTGAGAGTTTCTAGACTATCTAAAAAACTTTACTTTCCTTTTTGAGATAGCTTTTAAAATAAATATTATCCCGTTATTACCCTCTTAATATTAGCTCTATTATATATTTTGAAAGAATAACACCTTAACCTAAATAACGAAATATATAAGGAAGTGGGGCTTCTCTTTAAACTATCTCTTGTAAATTAGCGCACTTTCATTTACACCCCCTTGTAACGAATACTCAAACTGGCTAACTAAACTTGGCTGGGTGTTCGCTGGTTGGTATGCTATGATAAGAAGAAGACTATCGGGTTGTTCACTTGGAAGTGAACTCGTTACTTGTATCAAAGATGTCAAACTAATATGATAAGATTGATAACTAAGTTGATAACTAAGTTGATAACTAAGTTGATAACTAAGTTGAGCACGAAGCTCCTATCTAATGGCAGACGTGCCAGTATTATATAGAACCCTCGTTCCCATGGTCGCCAATNTTGATAACTAAGTTGAGCACGAAGCTCCTATCTAATGGCAGACGTGCCAGTATTATATAGAACCCTCGTTCCCATGGTCGCCAATGGCCGACACGGTCGACCGTGTCGGCCATGTCGCTGGTCACGTGATTCCAACCCAAGGAAATCCCTGGATCGCTTAGCTAGCCCAAAAGATCCCTTATTTGCTATAAGTCTATAGATGTGCTTGACCTGTCAGGACGCCGCCTGGTCTTCACTTATCACGTGTGCACGTGATTCGTGACACCCCTGTAGCCTAGGGCACCCCCCTAGCGTCATTTGCCCAACAATGGGACTTTTAGGACCTAGCCCACGCGAGTTAGATTCCGCCTGACGTTAAATAGTAATAAATAAATAAATAAATAAATAAGGTTAACGTCGCTCAACTAATAAGCTATAATATTATATATTTTATAACTATCGTAGTAGACTTAATAAATTTTCTATTATCCTTCCGGGATCTATACTTATTCACAATTTTAATTCACTTACCCGCTATTATTATAAAGAATACCTATTTATTCATTTATAGATACTAACGTTTATATCTAGCGCAGGCAATGTTCTTACAATAGACCACGTGACACACACCTCACCCCACACCCTCAAAAACCAGGCACCAAATCGCAAACCACCCGTCCGCGCAAGTCACTCAGAACCTCAACCTCACCTGCAGCACTAACCGCAACATACCACACGCCCACCACAACGCACCATCTCCCCTCCACCAACAAAAATGGCCGGGTACGTCCCCTCTCCTCCTTTCCCTCTCCTGTCCTCCATACCTCCCATTTCCCACCCAATTACGTCTCCCTCCCATCACTTCCCATCTCAAAACCGCACGAGAAAGGCAGGCAGGCAAGAAGTCGAAAGAAAAGGGAAGGAAAGGCAGGAAGGAAGAATACAAAAAGCTAACGCAAAACCAAAACACAGCTACCTCAACCGCGAAAACCGCGTACCCTACTACCAGCGTCTCTTCCAGGAGGGTCATAAACAGCATATTCGACAATGGAACCAGGTACGCTTCCCTTCCTCTTTCCAATCCCTTTCCCTATCTAGCTTTCGCAATCATAAACTCCAATTATATGTGCATGATGCATCATATAATTGAATCCAGAGGTCGGGGAGGCGCAAAGAAGGGAGGAGAAGGGAGGAGGATATTTAGAAGGAGATGAGGGTAGAATGGTATAAGGGTATAAAGAAGAATACTGACCGGGGAAAACAATAGACACGCATGGGTAGAAATATGCTACGGGTTTACTACACTACATTCATCATCACTGGTGCTGGTACGTTTTTACTTCAACACAAACCACCTCCACCCCTCCACCTCCACCTCCACCCCTTCACCACAACCTCAATCTCAATCTCCACCAACTCCCAATCCCAATGTTCTCCTGGTCCAATGCTAACCGTGCGGTAACTCATAGGATCAATGTGGATGATGGGCCGCATGGTATTAGGAAAGAAGACATGGTGGGGTTAGATACGTACCTACAACACAATCCAATCCAATACGACACTTCTCAGGGAAGGAGATATGCTGAACGAACTTGTTTTGGAGGGTCGGTACATTGCAGTGGGGGTTATGAGCACGAGACGCTACGGGTGATGGGTGACATTGTACATTGAAGTCCCGGCTGGGGAAAATAGAATTTCATAATTCGGTTTACACAGACAGACGGCCAACTGAAGTGAGGAGAAGAGAAGTTGTATGATTTGCATTTATTTGATTTACACGCGACAAGTGGAAAGCGCCAGTTACCATTTCCACCCCATTCATGATCCCATCGTAACTAAATGACCGCCACGGCACCTGACTACTCCCTGCCCCCCATCGAGGACTCCGAGAATTACGAACGTGCTTGAGCAACAGATATTCTAAGCTAAGTGCAAAACCCAGAAGAAACCCTGTAAAGCAGAACCCCTTGCTCGCTCGACAAACGAATCATATCTTCACTTGTCAAATTCGACCTCTTAATGTCCGTTCTTATTATCCTTCCACAACATATCCGCAACATCATCATCCAACCCATCCATAGCATCACCTCCAAGGTCCGGGAAATCGTTAGGGTTATTCAACTTTCTCTTCTTTCCACTACTACCGTTTGAGCCGATACTGGGTCTTCCATAGGAAGTTGACAAGCTGGAGAGCAGATCCGATCCAACAGCCGCGGATGCCGGAGGGTGATGGGGAATGGTAGGATTGTTGTTGAGGTCGAGATCAGGAACTGGCTCTGCTTGTGGAGGCTTTGGGTATCCAGGAGGAGTAAGAGCTTCGACTTCAGGACGATCGAGTGCTGGAGCTTGGGTAAAGGCATTATCTGCTGCACTGGGTGAACCATCTCCAGATGCAACGGGAGAAGCGGGATTGCTGTTTGCCATGCCACGCATGATATTATCTTCGACATCATCCTTCTTTCTGCCAATCTTTGCTTTGCGATCTGAGATCTCGGCAAGTTGGTTTTGATCGGTAGTAAGTGCTTCACGGTTGGCGCCGAGCAACTTTTCCAATCCTTCGATTAGGGCTTGACGTGCCTTGATGCTTTCGGCAACAGCTCCTTCGGCGTTGGCTAAGTTTTTGAGGAGGCCATTGAGTCGAGCAGCGTGAACTGGTGGGGAAGGTACGGGCTCCGAGGGATTGGTAAGTCGATCGTACTCTTGATTAGCAGCATTTATGGAAGTTTTGGTTGAAAGGACAAGTTTTGTGATTAGTTGTTGGGGCTCAACAAGAGGAGCGAGTTCATTTGGAACAGCGTTAGCGGAGGAGGAGAAGATTGATCCGCCCATTCGCTTGCCAGAAGATCGAGTTTTGTCGAGTTCTACTTAAGATTAGTATTGCTCCACGTAGTATATGAGACAGAACGCATACCATCAATCCTGGCTTCTACAGCATCTTGAATAGGACCCTCAAAAATTTGTCGTTGTCGCCAAACTTCAACTACTCTTCGAAGCTTCTGTTGAACCTCGCTTGTGGCTCCTTTATATGCAGATGCAGTCGCTTCAGCGATGACGGGGGAGAATGCGATGAGGAAATCATCCTTGCGACGAGCTTTGGATTGTTGGGCAACCTCTAAAATAGTATAACATTAGCATATTTTTGTGGAGTTGATAAAATTGAGAGCCTTACCATTGGCAAGATATATCAGATTCAATCTCTTGTTGCTACCAGAGTCCTTGAGTTTCTGTAGCCAGAGCTGTCCAGTGCGATCCGCGTGTCTCCTGTTGTAGTATTAGCACTGCATATATACAGTCCAAACATTCGGTCTGGGGTGTACCTATGAAACATTACCCATTGGGCAACGGTGACCTTTAGTCGGTTAATATATGTTTGTTTCTGGGGAGATGAGGTACTTACAATACTCTCCTGGGTTTCATTCAGAGCAGAAAGCTTTGCCACAACGGCATCATCAGTGTAGGCCATGTTGGCTTTTTGCGTGCTGAACTACCGCACAATCAAAGCAACCCTCAATGCGTTCAGAAGGAAGCTTGAATTAGGTTGCGAGATGGACAGAATGCAATGCGACGATGATAGTGTGATGTGATTTTTACAGTTTATGATTATCAGAGTCCAGAGTCACGATGAGTTGGATGTCAGTGCGAGGAGTGAGATACAGGAGTGAGTCCGATATCAGTAACTTCCGCTCCCCCCAACGACTCAATAATGCGCAGCGCAAATGCAACAACAGGAGGGTGTTGATATTTCTGCACAGCTGTACGAGTACGTATGTGTAGAGATGTAGAGCTGGTGGTTCTGGTGGTCCTGGAGCTAGCTGCGATCAGCGAAGAGTTTCGTGTTGAGCTAGTCCTAATCAGGTTGAGGCGGGGCAGGATGGCTGTGGGGCCGTGACCAGGAGGGTCAGCGCTGGGGTGGCGTGGCTGGGCTTATCGAAAAATAAATCTTCGCCAAAAAGTATTCATCTCACCAAAGTCGAAAACATGGCCAAAGTACCTGCTGCGAAACGACGGAAATTGACGCCTCCTATGAGTGATGGAGAAGACTCTTCCCCTTCCACTGTTAGTGGTGCGCCGGAGAAAAATACTTTCTTCAAGCAGGCCGCAAGTTGGAGTTTAGAGCAAGACTACGAATCGCGACCCAGAAAGGGAAAGAAGAAGGAGAATGAGAGCACTCGATTACCGATCAAGGCGTCCGATGGGCTTGTACAAGCCGCGCCAGTCGAGGTTGCAGATGTAGTCGAGGTGGAAGGAAGTGACCTCGAATGGTCTGGGGTTGAGGAATCTGAGGAGGAAGTGGTCAAGAAGCCCGCGGAACCCAAAATACCCATACGACAGCAGATTTTACAAGCGAAAGAGGAATTGGCACGGATAGCATTGATGCTGAATGAGGACCCGGAAGAGAATGCGGGTGCTTTCAAAACTTTGCAGTCATTCGGTCAATCCAAAAATACAACGATTAAGAAACTTGCGCTTGCGACACAATTGGCGGTATTTAAAGATGTCATTCCAGGATACAGGATTCGACCTCTGTCAGAAGAAGATATGGAAACAAAAGTGTCCAAGGAAGTCCGAAAGCTTCGTGCATATGAGCAGGCGCTTGTTGGGAGTTACCAAGCATATATCCGAGAATTGTCTAAACTTGCTGCTTCCGGCAAGGCCAGTGCTTCAGAAGGAGGAGCGAGTCTTGCCAGTGTTGCCATTGCTTGTGCTTGTGCATTGTTGGTTGCAGTACCACATTTCAACTTTCGAGGAGAACTTTTAAAGATTTTGGTGGGGAAAATGAGCCAGAGGAAGGTGGATGACGATTTCGTAAAATGCCGGGAGACAATCGAAACTGTTTTTCGAGATGATGAGGATGGAACTCCATCTCTAGATGCCGTTGCTCTCATCACGAAAATGATGAAAGGGAGAGGTTACAGAGTGGACGAAAGTGTCTTGAATACCTTTTTACATCTTCGACTGCTGTCGGAATTTTCATGGAAGGCCTCAACGAATCATGTCGACAAGCCAGGCAAGGGTGAGGAAGAAGTTCATGGCAAGAAATTAAAAGAGAAACGTGTTTTCCGAACGAAAAAGGAGAGGAAGATTATGAAGGAGCGAAAAGTAGTTGAGAAAGAGATGGTTCAGGCCGATGCTACCGTCAGTCATGAGGAGAGGGATCGTATGCAAGCAGAAACCCTGAAGTTGGTTTTTGTTACATACTTTAGAATTCTCAAGACGCGATCCGCGAATCTTATGGGTGCCGTGTTGGAAGGACTTGCTCGGTACGCACATCTGATCAATCAAGACTTTTTCGGCGACCTTTTGGAAGCACTGAAGGACTTGATTGGCCACGCGGAGACAGGTGATGATCTCGAAGAAGAAGACGAAGAAGCTGAGGATGAAGAGACGACACGAAATCTCACCCGAGAAGCCTTACTCTGTATCATCACCGCATTCGCCCTCCTAGAAGGACAAGATGCCGCCAAAGCTCAGGCATCCTTAAGTCTCGACTTGAGTTTCTTCATCACACACCTTTACCGAACACTGCACGCCCTCTCACTTAACCCAGACATGGAGCTCAGTTCCAAGTCCCTACATCTCCCAGACCCAAACAATCCATCCGCTCCACCCCCAAGCACAGCCAACAACAAAATCAACATCCAAACCACCACCGTTCTCCTCCTTCGCTCCCTATCCTCAGTACTCATCCCACAGCTCGGCGCTCGAGCCGTTCCACCATTACGCATCGCGGCCTTCACCAAACGACTCCTCACTTCCTCCCTCCACATGCCTGAGAAATCATGTATGGCCATCATGGGTTTACTAGGCAAAGTCACCAAGACGCATGAGAAGAAAGTTGCTTCACTATGGAATACGGAAGAGCGGAGAGGCGATGGGACATTCGATCCTCTGACCGGAGAAGTGGAGGGTAGTAATCCGTTTACGGCTACGATTTGGGAGGGTGAATTACTACGGAAGCATTTCTGTCCAGGTGTACGGGATGGTGTCAAGATTATGGAGAAGAATGTAATCGGATTGAGATAGAAGATATACAGTAGACAAATGATAATACCAATATCTATCCCCCTCCTACCTCCTTAAACCAACTCACACCCCCCCACCATCCTTCTCCCTCTCTTTCCCACCACGAGCCAACCTCCTCAGCAACCCCTCCCTCGAAATCGTAATCGCATCCCCCGCTTGCTGTAAATCAACACATTTCAATAGCTCTTCCGCGAAGTGCCGTTCGCTTGTTGCTTTCCGTTTCCAATCTAGGGATGTGAGGGCGGATAAGGCGATGGAGAGACTGTTTATTATTATGCCGGTTATTGTTAGGGCTTTGTGTTGGTTAGTGTTTGTCTGGGATTTTTTGGAGTTTGGGGTTTGAGGAGGAGAGGGGGATGGGTACCTATGCTTTGTTAGTCTATAATTTCTCATAAGGGGTTTGGTGATGAGTTTAGAGGAAGTACTGAGGGGAAATAAAGAAAGGGAAAAGTGAGGATACCTTTTAAATTCTCCTTACTCCCTGGTTTTAAAGAGGCGATCGCGGAGACCAGTAGTGCTATTGCGGAGAGGACCACCGAGAAGGTTACCGAGAAGCGTTTCCAGAATTGGCCGGTTGTGTACCATGTTATTGTCTGTGGGGGGGGGTT